AGGATATCTCCACATGCTGCAGAGAGCACAAAACCAGCAATGCAGAAGGGCCCGAGCCGATGACAAGGAGCTCCGGGTCACCTCCCGAGCGTGCACGCTGCCCCAGGGCGGCAGGGTACGGGGGCGAAGCTTGCCACATCACTCTGCAGCTGCAGATTCCTGCCGCCCATCCCACCTCCGCAGCCTCCCTGGCCAACCCTTCCCTTCAGGGCAACGCCAGCCAAGCCAGCGATAAACCACCGCTGATTGCTCAACGGGAGGGTGGCAAGTTGCAGCGTATCACATCCCTCGTGGATTGCAGAGGGATCGCCGCTGCTACCCTAACCAGAGCAAAACCCTTCTTCTAATATTAAGCTTTTGATAGCATCTTTTTTTCCATATGGCAGGGAGTGCTTCAGCTCTAAACGCAAGGATGAGCAAGACGAGGTCGTGTGGAGGAGGAGAAGGAGCCCAAGAGCTTTACCCTGTTCCTCACCTGGCGACCATGAGGCCCCCATCTCAGCACCCTTTCTGCCCACGAGGACTCCAGGTCTGCCCTCCCTTATCAAGCCAGCTGTCTCTGCACTTACCGAAGGAGGAGAGGAGAGATTAGGGTATTTAGCTTTGAAATCAAACAAATAATTGCATAGGCTTTTTGCAAACAGATCGGAGTCGGGAGGTCAGAGCATGGCTGGCAAATCTCAGCACTGTTTGCTCAGAGTAAATAATATTAGACCAAGGATAATCAATCATTTTAATCAACAAAATTATTTATAACTCTTTAGAGCAAACAGTCAAGCCTGGTAGCCGCTGCCAAGAGACAGCAGGTAGCGTAACGATCCACATACCTCTAATTCCCCTGCACTAGATATGGATTTACTTCTTTGTATGACTGGATTTACTGCCAAAGGAGACTTGCACTTGCAAGTACCCTGACACCTCCTCTCTGAAGGTATCCTTCCTCCCTCTCCACAGCTCAAAAAGCCACACAACAGCCCCTGGCAGCTGAAATCAAAACCGAAGTAGCTCACAGTATTCACTGCACACTCCAACCATCTCCCCTGTGCTGCACCTCTCAGCCCAGCACCATTTCACAGGAGGAGGGAAAGAACCAGCTAAACAGAGGAGGCAAAAGAAGCTGACAGGAAAGGACCTGCCCTCTTTGCTTTGCTGCCTGAGCCAGCCCCGTCTCAGTTCCCCAGGCATCCCTCAGTGTTGTGACTCTACTGATGCCACCAAATGACACCTCTGTGAGCACCCTCTGTGTCCCAGCCCGCGGACAAGAGCCACACGTGGATCTACAACCATTGCACGTCAAATGTTTCCACCCACCAGCCCTGGGACAGGCATGTTTTGAGACAGCAGATGAACCCAGCAGCCACAGATGGGAGGGTTGTGGTGGCTGGGTCAAAATCCACATAAGTTAAGGTATCGCTGGGGCAAGGCGATCCTTCACATCAGCCCTGGGCCCAGGAGGGGACAAGGGACAAGGCCATCCCTGCATGCTGCCTGCCAACCCAACACTGTTTCACCTCCCTGTCTCTGGAGACTGAACCGAGCTGCTCAGCTTCCCCCGTGATGGAAAGGGCCCTGGGAGAAACCTGGGAACCAAAACTCTCCAGCCCACGCCAGAAAGAGTGCCTCAGAAACACCGATATCATTTCCCAACATCCCAGGAATGATTATCCTGGTGGTACTATTTTTAAGCAGACAAGGAAACAGAAGTGAAGAACAAAAGGGTTTTCCCAAGCACAGCAGGCAGCTGAAGAGCCCCGAAACAAAGCCTCCTCCATCCCTGGGCGGGCACGGAGCTCCTGGGCTCTGTCCCTTCCAGGCTACACAGTGTACCTCCACGTTATCTCCAGAGGTCCCTTCCAACCCCCACCACGCTGTGGAGCTGTGTGAATCTGTGAATCTCCATACAGGACAGGTTTCCCCAACAACCCCAGGAAGGTCTTCTTTCCCAGCTCCGACTTCTAGGAAACTTCCCACTGAGGAAAGAACCAGTGCAGAGATTGGGCCAAACAACGCCCTGAGAAGATGAAGAAGGTGGGAGCGAGCTGGGGAAGGCGGCCAAAGCTGAACCGGGCTGCCCCATCAGCTTCAGTCATCCCCATCCCAGAGCCAAGGGTTGTCCAAGACAGGGATTAGGTCACCTATTGGCCTCAGCCCGGAGAGACGGGAGAGCAAAGGGCGGGCAAGGATAAATCAGAGTGGCTGGAGGTGCTCGGATCTGCCCAGAGGAAGCCCGAGCTTGGAAACCTCAGTGAAGGCTGGAGGGAGAGAGGCTGAGACACTCACAGCCCTCGCATCCACCCCGTGCGCAGCATCCGGAAGCTATTAAGGAATTACAGCCTCTCTGGCCCCGAGCCTTCCCCGGCAGAAGTGCCTGGGAGCAGATGGTGAAAGGGCTGATTGAATTCGGCTGCTCAGGCCAAGAGGCTATTAGGAGGATACATAAATGGAGGAGGGGGTGGAGGGGGGGATGTCATTTGGCAACTCGGGAGCCGGGAGCCCTTACCAGGAACTCCAGGAATCCTCCGCTGACTGTATCAAGCTTGGAGGAACTTCGGCTCCTGGATGGGTGGCTCGGGAGTATGAGCCCCCCTGCTGCCCTCGGTGTCTGGGCCCTGAGCTCCTGCTGCTTAGGGCTGGGGGTGAATAAGTGTAGG